TTTATACAGTATTGAGAGACTCATGACGTAGTCAATAGTTCTGATCTATTATCCCTAATTACTCGACCAAATCTTCCACACCTCAATCGAAAGCATTCCACTATTAGGGATTTAGATTTAGTTTAGTGTTTAGATAGTATTAGTGTTGTTTGTTATTAGTTGTTTGTTATTAGTTAACCCATTTCTGATACATATTGATTCCGGAGTTATTCTCACTTTTACAACGTGCTATTTAGATAATTCGTTTGCAACACTAAATTGCAGACATTAACTTTACACAATATTATTTTAATTATAAACAACACAATAAATAATTATTAAAAATAAAATAATAAATTAACTTTTACTTTTTTTTAGAACCAACCAAATCAGCAACCTGAGACCATAAAATCGAAAAGTTTCTAACATTATTTTCATCATAAAATAATCTAAAATCAGCAGGCATAAAGACGAATTCCGAAAGTTCATCAGGATGTATTTTATTATACATCTCATTTAAAGTAAAAGTAAAATCCATTCCAGCCAAAGGAAAAGGTTTAGGAATTAAAGAATTATTTAATAAATTTAATTTACCTAAAGAATTAAATATCATACTAGCGTTAAAAAAAAAACCACCAGGAAATGAAGAATAGGCTAATAAAGATTTATCAGCGATTCCCCCAACAGCAACAGTAGTCACATTATTAAATTCAGCAGCAAATTCAGCAATTTGAGCACAAGCAGAGCCACATAAACCATTAGTTAAAATAATATAATCATCAGGTTTCCAAGGAAGGGGAGTTGGTAAGTATTGTTGAATAAATTGTCTAATGTCATTAAGTACAAGATCACTATAAACATATTTATTTGAATAATTCGCCATAACACCACCACGTTCATAAACATTATTACCAAAGAAATCATCAGGAGTTGTAAAATTAGTAAGAGTTTTGGCATTAACATAATTTTTTAGATCGAAAGCATTACCCAGGGCATTGATTTTAAATTGTTCAGTAATAGCAAGTTTTACTTGATCAGTAATTCTCATGTCAAAGTCAAATGTAGGAGAAGTGTTAGGGAATAAAAGTAGATTTATAAATAAAGTGACAATAACATATCCACCAACGTTGTCAGATAAATCAAGAATAACCTTTAATTAATAATGAATAAATAATATAAAATGAATGAATAAGTAAAAAAGCGAAATAAATACAAAATAATTGAAATAATTGATATTGAGAATTACCTTTTTAACACCAGTATTTGCTAGCTCAGTAAAACCTTGAATTACACTCACAAACAAGTTATCGCTTAGTTCAGTAGGTTTTTCAGTAATTATTTTAACGATGCCAAGATCTTGTTGTTTAAAAAAGCCAATAAACTTATCAACAATTCTTATTACCATTTCACTTTGGTCTTGTTTATCTAATATTCTATTAGCACCATTGAATGTTTTTGTAATTTCTTGAACTTTGAGCATTCTATTAGCACCATTAAAAGTTTTTGTAATTTCTTGAACTTTGAGATTAGAAGATATAGGTTGATTATTTGTACTTGGAGGACTGCAAATATTATCAAAATAAGTTTTTGAATCATTAAACTTATTTAAAAGAGTACTAGCACTAAAAGCATTCCATTTTCTTTTAACATCAAATTTATCAGTGTTTTTACATTTGAGCGTGTAAGTGATATCTGGTTTCTCTGGTATCTCAGAACGTACGGCAAAAGATAATACTTTATAAGTAATGTCAAGAGCAATATTAAATCGTACACCAAGATCTCTTGAAGCATAAACAGATTCTTTGGCAAATTCATAAATTACTTGATAAGCATCTTTGCCATCAATATGAGTTACTTCACAATCATTATTACATTGGTCAATAGTATCATTAAAAACTTTAATGATCTAAAAATAATAGTTAAAACAATTAACAAAATGAGAGATTTAAATAACGATAGATAATACAGTAGATATAAGTTACCTGCTTTTTATCGTTAACAACAGAATAAAATGTCATATTCGTATAAAAAAGAAATGTTGAGAAGCAATCTAAAGAATATAACGTGTGTGCATCTTTTAAATCATAAAAGAGATGTTCAACATCGACCTATGATATAATAAGAATGTAAAAATAAAGCAATAAAATAAAAAAATAGCAATAAATCAATGTAATAAAATAATTACAGTAAACGCATATAAAGATTTATAAGATTTGTTTCTAAAATGTTCTAACTCGGCTATTATATCCATAGGTCTAAAGTCAAAGCCGGGTTTTGGAGGTTCTTTTGCTTTATGCAAAAATGAATAAAATGCACCGAGAAGACCGGTTAAAGTATCTATTGTCTACAATTTTAGTATGCATTGTATGATCGATCAGAATATATAGCATATAACTTTGTGCGTATTACAGTATTATAAATTCTATATATATATATATATATATATATATAAACATACTTTAGAAGCAAGAACTTTATCAAATGGATAGCTTTCATAACAGTCTTTGGCATCGGCATAACTAAAATTTGTTTTTTGTTTAGTAATAAATTCGTCATGAATTCTTGCACATCCATCAGAAGTATGATCTTTCCGTGGAATTACAAAAGATTGAACATTTACAGTAGAGACAAATAAGAATGCGAAAACTACTATGCAAAACCTCATATTAATAATGATTGCTATAGTAACGCATTAAGAAAAAAAAGTTGGAGGTCGCGTTTCTGAGGTTTATTTATGTCTGACATTGAGTACTTTCTAAAAATAGTTCATCGGAGATCGGAATATTTTACTTTGCATAAAAAATAAATTTAAAATGGTTTATTTACTGGATTTTAACTAAACAAATATCTGTCATTACTTTAATTCCAAACATAGTAAGAATGAAGATAATAAATATGGTTAATATTATCCTTATGAAAATCAGATTACGTAATTCTATTAGTCAATGAAACTGCGAAACCGGATAACAAAGGTGCAATACCATATTATTTATATAAAAGATTTACTGCGCACTTAAAAATGCTAGATTGCTTTAAATATTAACTTGGTTCATCAAATAACATAAGAAATATGGAAACTCGTAATCCTAAAAATTGTAAATTATTTTTATTCAATTTGAATCTACGGATTAATAAGCCTGCTAAAATTATTTTGGCTTATTATGCCGAATTATAATTATGCGTATATAGTAACAAATTAACATCCTTTAGCAACACCATAATGTTAGTACTTAACGGTATAAAAGACAAAAGACTTTCGTTAGCACTTGTGTTGATTCTTAAGGCCCTGCGTTATATGGTAGTACATTGGCTTTTCTTGCGGCACTGTAAATAACATAAATACTGTAATATAAATAATGAGCAAATCACCCGGCGTACAGCGTACGTACGTACGTACCTAAATACATACATACGTACGTACGTACTTACGTATGTGCGTACCTAAATCCTGTACACAGGGTACACAAGGGGTATATAGTAAAGTAGTACGGTACAGAACGTAAATTAAGACGGAAATGTAAAAATCAGGATAGTATGTACGGTTTGTAAAAGAAAAAATCAGTCAGACCTAAGTTATTTTTCCTACTAACCTCAAACATGAAGCAAACCCTAAGCATTAAAAATGACGACTTATGAAAATTGAAATTTTGCAAGTCTATATATTAGTCGTATGTACTGTACCATCAAAATTTACTATAATTTCGTATGTCCGTTCGAATTTATATTGCCATACAGTACTACTTTATTGAATACCTGTACACGGGTACATACGTACGTGCGTAAGAACGTACAAAGAGCATTCAGTTTCTAGAAATCTAATGTAACTGCTAATCATATTTTAGAGTTCTAGGATAATTATGGGTAAAATGCGTATCATCTCAAAATAGCGCCCAGGGCGTTATTTCGGGATACATAATTTAAGGAGAGTTGAGAACTAATTTAAGCCAAGATTTTCATTATGTAAAAAATTTTTTTTCGCGTTAGATTAAATTAATTCTTAGTTTTCTAGATAATATAGTACGGGAACCATTTTTGTCTTATACTTTCGTTTTCATTAAATGGTTTATCGAGGTTTCCCGTCCCGCACTCTTTCAACAAAAAAAGGAATAAAAAACAAAGAAATCATATGAATGACTTAAAAATTTTGTAATTAGCCAAGAAAAGGAGTGTGCGTAACAACAAATGTAATCAAATTCGAATTATTAATTTTAATATAATCCGTGTGTTACTATAACAGAGAAAATATTCCTATAAATAATAATCTCAATGATTTAAGATGCAATTAACGGCACCGGAGTGAGACCAATACGTATTATCTTCCCATTGTTCAAACTACTTTATTTGGAGCCATTGAAATTTTTGTGGAATCTAACTGCGAATAGAATTGATTAACTGCGCAACCGAAATTCAACGAATTAATGAATACGTTCAAATTTCGAAATTAGGTCAATGAAAGAATAAAAAATAAACCGATTTAAAAATGAAATATTAACTATGGAACTGGCTTCTACGTACTAATTAAAAATGTTTCCTTCAGAATTTTATTATATATCATCAAATTCTAAGCTTATCTCTAATGTATCGTATCTTCAAAAATCAGCAAATCATAATGCCCACTGTGTTGCATATTACGGCAAAAAAAAATACGGCATGTGCTGTAACCGTACTAATTTGCAAAAATCAATTCTACCACCAACTATGGACATCCGTGGTCTATATAATTTCTATGTTAATTTGTATTCGAATTCTCGTGATTTTTATCGTGATTTATGACCAAGTTTCGAACATCACGTGACAAATATATCTAGCGTTAGCACCAAAAATTCATGTAACGAACAAAAAATACGAAAAGCAATAAATTAATCATTTTATTTTATTTCGAATAAACTCAATAAACGTAATATTTTATTACAACCAGAAAGTATTATGAATGGTTTTTCTAAGTACGTATTTGGAAGATTCCATTACTCTTTAAAATGATAATAATCCTCCAATTTATGCCATGGCTCAAAGTTTTTGTTAATAATATCGATCATTTGTTACTATTTGGATTCATTATGTTTCTTCAATAATTTTTTTTGTTGCGTTCTGGATTCAGAATTAAACTCTTTACTCAAATATAATAATCAGAGTTATATTCTTCTGGGAGAGTATTAAAAATAAAATTTACAAAGTTTTCTGGTGCAATTGCATTTTCTTGATTAGTTTTTATAATTTTATTTCGATTTTCATTCTTTTTTTTCGTTTGGAAATTTGGTTACGGCAATCAATGTATATTTTTAGAATATTTTTAGAATATTATGTTTATTGGATGTTATGCATTTAAAAGAACCACCTGATTTGTCGAAATTGCAACGATCGCTTTTCATTTTGAAGAATCGAAGAAAAAAAATCACTTGTATCAATTGAAATGTTATTGTCGTGACTAAAGTTGGAACTTCAGTTGACTGAAGTTGGACCTGACTGAAATTAACCCTGAAATTAGATCATCCTGCACGCATTAGTTAGTGTTTTAGCAGGTGCCAACTTCAGTCAACTGAAGTTCCAACTTTAGTCGGATCCCAACTTCAGTCACGACATTATCACATAAATCATGTGGCCACATCTTTTTGCAAAGCGTTATAGATTGACAATATCACATGATTTTCAAAAATTTTTTGGATAACGAATTTACCCCGGTCTAATGCATCGCAACATAATCCTGGACACTACACGACCCTAAAATATAGGATAAGGTAATTTTTAATACATTTCCATTTCGGGTGTGCAAAACTTTATTCTGATTGTATGTAGTAATCGAATAAATTTTATGTCAGATCTTAAATCTTTGCTTTTTGGGAGTAGAGTTCCAATCCATTAAGTGCTTATTCGGATAAATTATCAGATATCCGTTATCTGTTATCCGAAAAAGTTATCCTTATTCAAAGTTCAAAAAAATTTGTAACTAATTTTTAAAATTTTTGACCAAGAATAACTCAATAAATATCTGTCTAAAATCAACAAAAAATTTTTTATTTTAATTATATAAATTGCAATAATACTATACCTGATGGATTGGCAATGCTGATCTTGAAAGAGTTAATAAAAAATTATTTGAGTACTATTCCTGACAAGATTCTAAAGATGAACCCTAATCCTAATATTTTTTATTATATA